ATTCTGCATTAAGCAGTGGCATCATTATCTCGTTGTGCTCCGTGGTATGCACGATAGTACTGGACGGATAGCCGTAACTTCACTTAGGGCATATATTGGGCGTGCTGAAGCAAACGCGATATTTAAGGAATGTTACGTAAGTTTTGACTAGCGACTAATAAATATCCTTGTCTTTTGCCGTTTATTAGAGATAGTTGAATATTTTCCTTTCATCATCCCGGAAAAGGAAGAAAAAGAAGAGACAATTTCCGGGACCAAGGTGTATTTTGGCTGATGTTTCTAAAGCGTGATCGCTTCCATCATCAGATCGTGGTGTCTGTACTCCTGATCGCTTCAAATTAATATGAACGACCATTAGCTCCGCTGAATGCGCAGGTGTGAATCAATTGCACCGATCGATTTATGTGGCTGTTTAAATTGCTCGTGCCCTCACGGGCGTGTTCATGAGATGTGTCAAGTTGTTTTCTTGGGTCATGAGCGTTTAATGCCTCTCTGCCCGCGGCTGCTATCTGTCGTCCCTGCTTATCTCCTTCCGCCCGACCTATTGCCTCATTCTGAGCCGATGTTAGCATTCTGCGGAGCGTTTGGTAGGCGGGAGGAAGGTCCATGGCTCTGTTTAGTGTGCCAGTCCAAGACCACCTTTCTAGCAGCAATCTGGCCCTCTTGTCGTTGGCTCGGCCTATCATCTTTGCTTTTTGAAAGGTGAATGTATGGTTTTTCTGCTTAACGTGGTCATAAGCCAAAGACAGCTTATCCTGGCGGTTGATTGCGAGCTGATGCTTATGCAAACTTATGCCAAGGTGTCAGCCCGTTTCACCGACATACCTTGCAATGAAGTCTTGGCATGGTATGCTGTAGACGACAGCTGATTGATCAATCAAAGGTAGCGGGGTTTTGGGCGTCATGCTCTGCTGTATGTTGCCTATGAGCCAAACCGATCCCGAATGGTTTCAGGATTCCTGCAGCCGCCTGCAATAGATTCTTCAGATAAGGGATTGCGAGCCAGAACTTAGGGTCATCTCCTTTCGACCGCTCAAGGTGGGA